CCAAAATGAAATCTAACGAAATCTGAATATACCTGAACAGACTTTACCATGGAAATAATTAATTATTAGTCACTGAATGATATATGAGTAAAAGCAATAGATCTAACTTCCTTTTTTGGGGGGTTTTATGAATGAAGCAAACGCGGAGGTGCCAAAAACTGCAGTTCCTCAAACGGCCACTTGAGGCCGGCTCCAAAACGGAGTCAAATCCCATTAAAGCGCCATGTTAAAATGCTGAAATAAACATGTTTACTGAAAAACAGTAATGGTCTCTAGAACTCATACCCCCGTTTATGACAACTGTATGGGGGGAGAATTTGTAAATAACTCACCCGCTTAAATTATATTAAGGGTTAAGGTTATGCATAATTACGGGTGTCGTCTCCTCCGCTGCGTCACCCTTTTAATGAGATATCATACAAATTGAGGATACCCTTTATTTTTGCCTAAACATAACCAGGTCATTTTTTTTTTATTCACAATGTTACTACATATAAAGTGACGCCAAAGGGTCCCGACCAAGTGTCCGTATGTGAAGTGTTGGGAATGAGACCGGGTTGAATTGTTACAATAATGGAAACAACAATCCTTCCTGCCATGATTGTACTGTTGTTTTTTTCATTTGTGGGAAAGTTGCTACTGAATGCAAAAAGGAAAAGCAAAAGCTGATGAGCATCATGTAATGCAATGAGCATGTACAAAAACAAGTTGTAAAGCACACATCGCTGCAGTGATTTCACCATTTTTTTGTTCTAAAAGTAAACCATTGACCATGAGATGAGCCTCTGCCCCCAATGTGCTCGACATACTATAATTGTTTTTGATGAGAAACACAGTGATCTGTGATGTTTACCTGAAGAAAAAAAAGGATTGGAAAAGATTGCATGAAACAACAACCAAACAGCCAAAACTCACAGATCGGGGATTCAACACTTGTTTTACTGAGCTGTGACTTGACAAGAACAGATCAGTGCCTCGCTGACAGTAACTAACGATTCCAAACGCCTGTGTTCATCCCCGAGGCCTTTCCGAGCTCCTAACACTCTCCGTTAATCTCTGCTGGTGAGAAGACTGCAAATCACAACTATCCATGGCCAGAGAGAGAGAGAGAGAGAGAGAGAGAGAGAGAGAGAGAGAGAGAGA